ATGAATGAGGTACATGGAACTTTCCGTTTTACGACAGCATTTGCACACCTGGATGATATCCTAATACCAGCGTCAAACGCACAAGGCTGCCTGGAAGAATTAGAGGTAGTGTTAGACCTGATAAAAGCATCGGGTATGACAATCCCACTTGATAAGTGTCATTTTTTGTATGGTACTATATCGTATTCAGGTCACGAAATAAGTGGTGAAGGCATCCAACCTGGAAAAGAAAAGATCCAAGCAGTTGTCGAATTCCCAACACCCACTAATGTACACGAGGTTCGTCAGTTTCTGGGTCTTAGTAGCTTTGTCGTGAATGTATTTACAACTTTGCCTCTATTGTAAAACCTCTTTGCAATTTGACAAAAAAAAAATACCATTTTTTTTGGTCGGATGACGAAGACCGTTCGTTTGAAGACCTGAAGTAAAAACTAACTTCCGCTGCTTGCGATACACGATCTTGATGCCCTGACGGAATTACACACAGATGCGAGTAAAATGAGCATAGGAGGCATTCTCCTTCAAACCCAGCCAAATGGGGAATTAAAACCTGTGCAAAACTTTAGCTGATCAACGACCAATGAGGAGGAGAACTACTTATTCGTACGAGCTAGATACGCTAGCCGTAATGAATTCGTTGAAGAAGTTTAGAACCTATCTTATTGGTATCAAGGTTAAAATAGTAACAGACTGCAACGCTTTGCAAGTCACACTCACCAAACGAGACATAATTCCAAGAATTGAAAGGTGGTGATTGTCAACCTAAGAATTTGATTTCACCATCAAGTATCGTGCTGGATCTAAAATGGACCACGTAGACGCATTGAGCAGGAATTCGATATTAAACAGTGCAGAAGCACCTATGCTACACGTTGTAGCTGATAAGAATGATTAGGTCTTGTCCTGCATAACTCACTGACAAACGTTGCCAGGAGTTGCACAAGAGCCTAACAGAAGTACCGACTACTCTAGAGGATAAAAGAGTCCATAAGGAGTACCTTCTAGAAGAAAATAGAATTTATAAGAAGACCCCTCAAATGCAGACGATGCGAAAGCGAAGAGGAAGAATATCTTAATGTCCTACCACGAGGGTGCAGGACATCCAAGAGCTGATAAAACGTTGGAATCCATACAAAGGCGATATTGGTTTCCAGCTATGCGCAAGTACACCAAGAACTATATTTCTTGTTGCTTGGGTTGTCTGTACAATAGGAAGCCAGCCGGAAAGCCACCAGGAAGCTTCTTATAAAGTATTGATAAGAAGAATATACCTAAGGATACACTCAACCTTGATCACATGGGCCCTTTCGTAAAGAGCAAAAGGAAAAATAGTTATTTGATCGTGGCAGTTGACGGATTCACGAAATTCAGTTTCATGAACGCAGTCTCAACTACCAATACATCAGCCGTTATCAAGTTTCTCGAAGACATAATCGAAATGTTTAGCGTTCCTCGTTGTTTGATTTCGGACAGAGGTACCGCTTTTACGAGCGCAGCCTTTAAAGAATTTGCATCAAACTTAGGCATAAAACACGTTTTATGTGCTACCGTTACCCCAAGGGGAAACTACCAGGTAAAGCGGATGAATCGAGTCATTTTAAATGCTCTAACATTAACTGTTGAAAATGAACAACGGTCGGACGAAGCAATTAGTAAGATGAGATGGTGTATGAACTCTACAGTTAGTTCGACTACGGACGAGTCCCCATACGAAGTGTTTCTTGTATACCGTCCAAGGGGCGTAAATGACGCATTCCTTAGTGCGGAGAGGTCTGCGAAGACGAAGTGGATGATGTGGCTGCGTTGAGAGAGGAGGTTTCTGATCGGATTGCCGAACAGCAGCTGACTCAGGAACGGGCCTACGACGCTAGACACTCACGTCCACAAGTGTTTGAAGTCAGGCAACACGTGCTCGTACGAAAAGCAAAAAGCGCTAATGACGGCAAAAGTAAGAAGCTTGAGCCACGTTATAGGAGTCCTTCTATTGTAACAAAAGTACACGAAAACGATCGATACGTCATGGGAGATATGCCAGGCGCAAAAAGAACGCGACTGACATATAAGGGAATATGTCCCTCAGACAAGTTAAAGCCATACAAAATGAGTATGAGTTCGGAATCATCCGAAGACGATGATTACGATTTGCATGAAAATCAAGATGATAATAGTTAATGTTTGTTTCTTTTTTACAGATAAGTTACGCTAAGTCTTCGCGGGACGCAAAGAACGTCAGGTTTGGCCGACTGTAAGCCATGCCTAAGAAAAACACCCTGAATATGGTACCTCAGGTACTCCGACGTGACGACCCGGGTATAGAAAAATTCTATGAAGCTGCGCCATGGGAAGAAGGGGCTCCAGGTACCTAAGAGGGTGCCAATATAAATTTTTGGGTTTAGTTTGCAATATTCGTTCTTTAAAGTAACGCTTCTTGTATTATTATTTTTCCGAGTCTGTTCACAATAGTTATTTGGAAAAAAAAAACCTAATTTTTATAATAATAACTTTTACATATTATTTTTGTTATACAGGGTGTAAAAAAAGTCTGGAATATTGCGAAAACGGCTGAATATTTTTCACTTAAAATTGGTATGCTTCTGTAACGAATAGCTCCGGATCATTCAGGTGTAAAATCGCTTATGTAAGAATACAGGGTGAGACAAAAAAAATGCAAACTTTTTTATTTTAAATGACACACCCTGAAAATTTTTACGGATAATGACAGATCTTTGCAAGACGAATTCACTAATATGGGATCTAGGGGTCTTATCTGTCAAAGTGACGGAACAAGTGAAAAAACAAATTCAAACTGTTTATTGTTATAAACACTAAAAACAACAAATGTTCGAAATGAGTTCCATTACTAGCTAGGCAATAACCTGTCATTTAACTCCTGGAGAACATTGCCGAGGATCTCACCTAAATAGATCGAATTTCACCCAGAAGATTCCACCAAGAATAGATCGAATTCCACCCAGTATTCTATTCTTAAAGTCATTAAGATCTAATGGTCTACTTTCATGCACGTTTGTTTTTAAATGCCCCTACAGGAAAAAATCGAAGGGGATGAGGTCCGATAATCTCGCTGTCTATTCATTTTCACCTCCTCGTCCTACTTTGGAAACTCTTCATCAAGAACAAGAAATTTCCGGACTTGTACACCAAAATGCGTTGGTGCACCATCTTGCTGGAACTAAGTATTCTGCCTGTTTGGAGTCAGCATATTTGAACTAGGAATAACCTTATCTTGTAGTGATCGTAAGTATTTGTTCTCACACCCCTGGATTTTTCCTGTAGGGCCAGTTAAAAACAAGCGTCTACGAAAGTAGACCATTAGATCTTAACGACCTTAGAGATAGAATACTTGGTGAAAGTCGATCTAGGTGAAATCTTCGGTAATGTTATCCAGGAGTTTAAGGAAAGGTTAGGTTATTGCCTAGCTAATAATGGAGCTCTTTTCGAACATTTGTTGTGATTATTTTTAGTGTTTATAACAATAAACAGTTTGAATTAGTTTTTTTACTTGTTTCGTCACTTTGACAGATAAGATCCCTAAACCCCATATTAGTGAATTTGTCTCGCAGAGATCTATCGATATCCGTAAAAATTTACAGGGTGTGTCATTTAAAATAAAAAAGTTTGCATTTTTATTGACTCACCCTGTATTCTTACATAAGCGATTTCACACTTGAATGATCCGGAGTTATTCGTTACAGAGGCATACCAATTTTAAGAAAAAAATATTTAGCCGTTTTCAAGGTATCACCAATATTCCCGACCTTTTTTACACCCTGTATAACATCACACCTACTTTTAGGAGTTTCATTTTAACTACGGGTGGAGGAAAATTACAGGTAGTATGTAGGTATATTATACTTTGGATCAACTTAGTTATGTAACTTCTTAATTTAATAAGTGGTTTTCAAAGTAGAGGAAAGTAGCCTATTTTCGGATAGTTTCCTAATTTCGGATAGCAAGGTATTTCAGATGTTAGACTGTATCAAAAAAGGAAAACCTCTCCCTGTCGAAGGTAAGTGTTAAAGGAACCATTATTCATTATAGCTGTCAATATATAATATTTCGAACTTCTGTGTAAGATGGCAGCACAATAGTTCTAAAACCTTGTGACGAGTTTTTATTGGTCTGTCTTAGCTGGTGGGTTTTAGTTCACAAAAAGCATTTTTAATTTGTGATTTTTCGACCTGGGTAAGTTGAAATGTTACAATATGACTGGCTAGTTGAAATTAATCAACTACTGGAATTAAAAAAATATTGAGAATCTAGCCTGAAAAGTATGAAGTTGCCTAATTTCGGATAGTCGGGGGTTCCCAATTTCGGGTTTCCGAAATTAGGGACCCAAGAGTATCTCTATCGTCACGTCTACCAGTTAGTCCTAGCGGTACGCAAAACAAAACGGCATTTCGAGTTACAAGCAAGCCACTTGGCACAGTTGTTGTTGGGACCATATTGAACGATTTTACCCGTAGTGATTTTTGATTCATCCCTTAGGGGGTGGTTTTTGGGGGGTGGGGGTTACACTACTCCCAAAGTCAGAATGTCGATTGATTTTGACTATCTAAGGCTCGTTTTCGCACAATTTGGGGTCGGTGAGATCGAATTTTGAGTTGTTTTCACTATCCGATGCGAAATTCTTCATATCTAGAGGAATTAATAGATTTTTTGAACCAAAATGTGAAAAATTAAAAACAATACAATTATGGCAATGCTAGAGTCGATTTCTACTAATTTGATGGTGTTGAATCGAAAAAAAATATCAAAATCTCATTTCGAGGAAAACTGAGGGGACCAGACCCCCTTTAAAAAACTTTTTTTTTTAATTTTGAGTTTGATGTTTTCGACTAATTCGGTATTGCTGAGCACGAATCTAATTCCAGATTAACTGTTACGGACTCAGGAGATGATTTCGAGCAGGATAAGATTACTGAAATACACTATATTTCTTGAGAAAAAAAAACGAAGCATAAATATTTTGAAGTCCGTGCTTAAACTTGTCCCTGCAGATCACCGTCCACATCCTCTTGAGTTTCTTCCGGAATTGTAGGCAAGGTTACACTATAAAAAAAGAAAAAAATTAGTATACAAGGGTTTTTTCGTGCTTATTTTTCTTGTGCTAAAGAAAATATTTCTACAAACGTACGTCTGGTTCGAGCAGGAGCCTTTGCATGACTTGCATGCAGGTGTGCAGGGAAGTCCCAAGCGACGGCATTTGCATCTCTGGGTGCCGCAGTTGGTTTTGCAACCACACCGGTCCAGCACTGCGCACTCTGTCTAAATAGCTGGGTCGTCGGTCTATACCGGGATCCACTTATCGTCCTGTAGAAACCAGCCCCACGTATCCGGAGAGGCAGGTTTGGTGCCGTCGCCGCCCTTCCCCTGAGCTGTCCAGCCTGGTAAGCAGCGCCCAGGATGTGCTTCACTAAGGTGCCTTTAGTAGGAGGGATAGCTTGAACTGGACGGCTTAGCGTGGCAAACATGTACTGGCGGGCACCGACCACTGACGTAATTTCCTCGCCCTTAACACTGTAGATTCAAACGATGAACTTTTCGACGGCACTTATTAAATTATCGGGCAATGGAAGATCAGACGGGTGGCTCAGCTTATAGAAGGCGTCCGTCTCTTCATCTGTTAGCCAGGCAGTTCGCTTTCCACGTGATGCAAAATAGCTGACAGTGTCACACCCAGTCAGACAGTAAAAGAAGCGGAGAGTCGTAGCCTTTTTCTCTCCTAGGGTAGATGCTACATCGTGTGCAGCCACGTAGCGACGATCCTTGCCCACTCCGAATAAGACCCACAGTTCCTTCAATCCTTTTTTTTTGTGAAGTTCACGAATAAAGGAAACCGCCAGCACAAGTACGTCCGTGTCACTACTGCGGATAACAATTCGTCGAGCACTACCACACGCAATGTCCATTGCATGGAGAATAATTCTTCCATCGGCCTCCTCCAAGCCTTGAAGAGAGATGTCACGGAGAAAAGAGCCCAAGGAAACAGAAGACTTAATTTCTGAACCCACATTGGTAATAATACGAATGTCTTGCAGAAGGGACAAGAGCTCAGCCGAAAGGAAAGCATAAAGCTCTGTCTTATTTTCATCGTTTCTCAGATAATCTTTCCAATTCAACGGCGGTTTTCCTGAAAAGAAAAAAGTTTTTTTTATTGCAGTAGGCGAAAAATGTAAACTGTTGTTGTTTGTATTTATTTTTACCTGGAGAGATCCTCGCGCCGAAGTCCGACTCCGCGGCTCTCCCTAGTAAACCCTTTCACTGGATGTCGAGTACATGTCCCAGACAACGCGCTGCGGTAGCTTGTTTGCAAGTTTTCTAATGTGGCTAGCTAAGTAAGCTGCATAATCCTTGAAAGAGTTAGTAGTGGCAGGGGGACAGACAGAGTGAACCAGCACAGGGCCGTCAAGGATCAAGGCGTCACTTAAAATAGGAGGTGAATTTCCCAGAGGTTTGATCAATGATTCCAATATGTCCTCAAAGTGATACTTCACCCCGCTTCGCATAACACCATTTATAGGAGGGCAGCTTTGATTTTCAAACTAAAAATTTCTCCAAATTTAGGTCCCGGGCAGTGCAGACAATGAAAAGTCGCGAATAAAGCTGCACGTCAGATTTGACTGTTTTGAGCAGGAGTGCACCTTGGTTCTTATTTTTTTTTCCCGAATATATCAAAGTTGCACTTTTTAATCGGATCAAAGATAGTTTTAGTATTGAGTAGATATACTAGACCGGTTCCCGACCGGAAGTGCCACCAGTCTCGTTCTGGGGCCCGTGCCCGTCATCAGAGAAGTCCCAAATTGAAGGGGCCTAACCCAGGTGGGCCTGTGCCCCATTCCAGGGCCCCATTTTTTCGGTAGGCCCCATTTTTCGTCAAGTGGAGGGGCCTAACCCAAGTGACGTCATCAAAGGGGCCACATGCTTGTCCCCGCTGCTAGACCCGTGGCCCCATTTTTTCGTGGGCCCCATTTTTTGGCAAGCCCCAATTTAAAGAGGCCTAACCTAAGTAGCAAGCCCCCAATTTGAAAAGACCTAACCCAAGTGACGATAGCAAAGGGGCCCCATGCGTGTCCCCGCTGCTAGACCCGTGGCCCCATTTTTTTCGGGACCCCATTTACATGAACTCATAACCTGAAATGAGATACCCCATACGAGATGACAGGTACGTGCGACGTTGTCGAAACTAATAATGTGCGACGTTGCCAATGAAATTTCCTTAAATCTAGGGAAAAATCGGAAAGGGGCCACTTGTCTCCGCAGCTAGATCCGCGGCCCCATTATCCATCATCATCGTATATGGAACCAATACAGGCCCCCAAATTTTGAGGCGCACGTAGCCTAGAACTCATAACCTGAAATTTGATGTCCCATATCTCGTGCTGGTAACCTGAAATTTGTACAACGTACCTAGAACTCATAACCTGAAATTTGATACCGCGTATCTCGTACCTGGTACCTCGTACTTGCTACCTCGTACCTGCTACCTCGTACCTGCTACCTGGTACCCCGTTACTTGTAACAAGATACACCGTACTGGGCCCCCTTTTTTCGTCGTCGTCGGCCCCATTTTTCTAAACTAAAATATGGTCACATAAAAGACAACATCATCATCATCATTGAAAAAATAGTGCTCCAATTTGGGCCCCATTTTTCACGGACTTGTAACGATTCAATTGGGGGGCCCCAAATATTATTTTTAAAATAATTATAATTTCTACCGTTCTCATAAACAGCAAAAACAGCAAGTTGTGTGTGAACTTGCTTAATCATGCTTATCACACGGAAGCGGCATTTCCTGCGACGATGATAAACATTGTTGTTATTGTTGTTCTATATTCATTCAAAGTCTAGTAAGTTATTCCAGCGTTCTTAAGTGACACAACGTTTTTTCAATGCTCCAGTTTCAAAAACATTTTTCTACGAAAATCTCATTCAAAGTTGGGCGTTGGATTATTTGAAGTTAATTGTGTTTATTACTAAAAAACTATGTAAGTAATTTTTTCATTAATCTTAATGACCCTGATAATAATACATTGGTCTTTTTTTTTTTTTAAGGGACAATCATGAATTTAGATCAAATAAACCAGGCGGCTTGTATTGAAGAAAAGCCCTATATGAAATTGAAGGACCTAGTTCCAAATCATCTATATCCCATTATAAGTATAACAGTTGTTAACTCTAAATTTGGAGAAGTAGCAAAAGTAGACTTGGAAAAATGTATCACATTTCTACCACAACGTTCAACCGAACCGATTAAACAAAATCTTGACCATTTCGAGGCTGGGAAATTTGCACTCATTTTCAAGTCTATGAAAGAGATTCAGGGACTAAATCCAACGGCGATTTTTGAAATTGTTGAATTGTAAGTTAACTATAATATAAACTATCCAATTGAAACTAATTATTTTAATTTTAGATTGGTTGGAAATGAGAAAACAACAAAACGCGAAACGCAGCTGGCTGGCCTGGTACTTGTTATTCATTTTCAAATTTTAGTTAGATTCATGTTAAATTCTAGCGTCCTTAGGTGACACAACGTTTTTCAGTGCTCATCCAGATCGAATTTTTCAACGAAAATTTCATTCAAAGTTGGGCGTTGGATTATTTGAAGTTAATTGTGTTTATTGCTAAAAACTATGTAAGAAATTTTTTCATTAGTCTTAATGACCCTGATAATAATACGTTGTTCTATTTTTAGTTTAATAATAGAATCAAAATTTGACCACTTCGAGGTTTGGGCTCTTGGAACGTGTCTTTGAAATTGTAAGTATATTATTTTTATTATATAGCATACAGTACATTTTTTCTCTTTTTAGATCTATTTTCAGTGCTCATCCAGATCGAATTTTTCAACGGAAACTTAATTCAAATTGGGCCTTGCCTCAATTATAATTGATTGTGTATTTAGTGCTAAAAGCTATGTAAGTAATTTTATCAATATTCGTAAAGAGCCTGATAATAATACGTTGTTCTATTTTCCATAGACAAACATGAATTTAGATCAAATAAACCAAGCCGCCTGTATTGAGGAAAAGCCATATTTGAAATTAAAGGAACTAGCCCCAAATCATGTGTATCCCATTATAAGGATTGCAATTGTTAATTCAAAATTTGGAGAGGTAGCGAGAGTGGAACTAGAAAAAATATCACTCTTCTCCCACAACGTTCAACCGAACCGATAAGACAAAATATTGGTTACTCTGAGAATGGGAAATATGCACTAATTTTCAAGGGTATGAAAGCAATTGAAGGCTTGAATTCAACAACCATTTTTGAAATTATTGAATTGTAAGTATACTATATAAATTATTGAACTGAAACTAATCATGTTGATTTTCTAGATCTAATGGAATTGAGAAAGCAACAACAATAACAACACCAACAACAAAACGTCTCAACTAGACCACGAAATAAGAAATCAGACTAGTCGGAGAGGATTTTTGTAATTATATGACAATAAAAGCACTTGTTATTATCTAATAATTGTTTTATTTATAAAATATTATACAAGTTATTGTGAGTTTTGGTACTTCCAATATAATTATACAATACATATACATTCTTAACACTACATGAACGAATACTAATTTTATGATAATTGAAATCAGTGGGGCTTATAAACCAGCTTGGGTACTTTACCTACTGAAAATTCTAAATTAATTATAGTTAGAGGATTTACATTAATTTTAACATGAACTTTGATTAGAAATTCTTGTTTAACATAGCCTTCAACGTAAACAGTATCAATGTCTTTTAAATTGTCCTGAAGCACTTGATTAAGTTCTCCATAGTCTACACAGCCTGTATTGTATGGAACACCATGAATATTGTGGGATACATAGTTGAGTTCTTTCTTCTGGGCTTCATTCAACTCACGATGTCGAATTTTTGGTTCAAATACGGAACTTCTAAGCAGTTTCCCATCACAAAAAGCCAATTCTTTAACTTGAAAAATCAGTAGAAAAGTAACATTGACCGTCCAAAAGCACAAACTCAATCCTTTTCTGCGAATGCTTGATAGTAACTGGCTACATCAATGTTCTAACGTTACCTGATAAAGGTAAGTATTCAAACACCCGATCATGTACGATTATACAACAGGCTCGTGTATCTTCCGAAAAATTCTCTGAGCTTTGGAACTCTAATTTGACATCAGTCGTGTTGCTTTTGAGGGATTCGTTCTGTTTTGAGCAGTATATAACAAATAATGCCCTGTTGGCAAAATTGGGAAGGTCCAGCAATGGTTCACTATTGGTTTTACCCAAATACGTGTTTTGAAATTCGGTATACATCCGGTATGCTTCTGCAAACTGTTTGTCATCGAAATTAAGATTCAGTGATTCATACGGATAAACTTCAGAGTTTAGATATATCTTGACATCTGTAATGTCTAAATTATCGAAAAGAGTAATATCATACCGAGGATTATCTTTTCGGTTTTTCTGGAAAAACACTATGATATATCTGGCTCTCTCGGACATTGATTTCACAGTCCACACGTCTCGCTTGGATTTTCTCAATGTAGGTAACTCATGAATCTCCCAACTACTGAATGGAATAAATATGGGTTTGTTGTTCGAAATATCTTCCAATAATTTCAATTTTAAAACATCGTTTGGATAAATGTGCCTCACCCTCAATTCTACTGTGTCTAAAGTAATTTTTGCTGTTTTATCTCCAGTTGTATTGATGTAACAGTTATCATCATTTCTAGCTCTGACAAGTTTTATTTTCTGTCTTCCCATAATAGCCTTATTGTAATCGGAAAAGATATTTAGTAAAATCTTCAAGGGTATCAGGAAATTAAATTTGTTCCCCGCTAAAGATTTCACTTCACCCTTAGGCCAATTCCATCCAGCTCGATCGAGTGCTCTACTCTCTTGATCGTTGAGACATAAAATATTCCTCACTGTGCTAGTAAGCCCCGGATCTCGAATTTTATCAATTTCTTTGCCATTTAATTCATAAGTGATAGATTCAAATAGGAAAGCACCTGCATTAATTGTTAGATTACATTTTCCTGTCTTTCCTTACCGCTGGAAAGACGTCTTCATTAAACTTTCCTTCAATGTAGACTTCGGCTTGGCTGATATCTATAAATGCATCTTGTTGATTGATAACAATTTCTAT